CTGCGGCAGATGATTTCTGCGGCGAGCGAGGGGGAAGTCAGAAGGGGCGGGCCTGCACAGCAGGCTCGGAAGCCCCCTGGCCGTCTGAGAAGGTTTCTGAGCCTTCCCTGAAGGCACAGGAAACCTTTCAGAAGGCCAGAGGGCTTCTGAGAAGTCCCGCCGCCTGCCGAGAAGGCCTTCTTCCTTCTCGCTCGCCCCCCTCGCTCGCCGCCGAAGATTGCTCTTGGGAGGCACACCAGTCTGCCCCCCCCCCCCCCGCCAACGGGGGCGGGCTCGTTCGGTCCCAGCCCTCTGGGGCGGGGTGTCGGGGGGTGGAGGATGGGGAGCGCTCCGCGGCCCCCTCGGCACCCCCGCCGGGCATGGCTTCGGAGAACTCTTTGGCAAACCAGGACGCAGAGAAGCCAGGACACGGGAGACCAAGGAGACGGCACCCTGTCCTGCAGAGTCACGTTTTTTCAGACCCGTGCATTTTTAATTTGCTGCGCCGCAGGATTCGGGTTCGTGTCCGGGTTTGAGGGGGTCTTGCAGGCTTTTGGGGCCTGTGTCCGGGTTTATTCTGAAAGTGCTGCGGTGCAGTATTTTGTTCGTGCCGCCGTCTGGAAACACTGGTTTCGAGGGATGTTCGGTGTCCGGGTCTAGCGTGTCCAGGTCTGTGGGGCCCTGTGGGTGGGCTCGAGTCCCGCTCGGGTGGGCTCGATCCTTCGGAGCTGCTGACGAGCCCTCTTCCCAACACTACTATGTACGGAAGGTTCGCGTCATGTCGAGCGGCGGCGGCCCCGCCGCCGGCGTTCCAGGTTGAACGCCGCTGGCGACCCAGAATCGGTCGATTTTGAAAGATCTGGCGCTTCGGAAGCGGTCGATCGTTCAAGGTTGAACGATGCCCGCGATGTCAGAAGCCAAGGCTGAGCTCGGCACGACGCGAGGCTGCCGTGGGCTTCGAGCTCCAGCACGCCCGAGACGATCCTGAAGCGCTGCGTACAGGCTGCTCGGTGCCACTCGGGCTGCTGTTGCTGCTTCGCTCCTAGCTCCGCATGCTGGTCGGCCAATGTACTTCGGGCGAAGAGAACTATGCACATGCACCGATCCTGGCAAGGCCCACCCTTGACCCAGGATCGGTGCATATGCCTTCCTGGCCAAGGCAGGAGGGCGTATGCACCGATCCTGGGCTCAGGATGGGCCTGGCCAGGATCGGTGTATGTGCATAGTTCTTTCTCCTCTAGTACTACCCCCCCATCGCTCGAGGCCCATGTCGTTTCGCTGGGCCCTCGTCGCACGGGCCTTCCCGTTCTCGAAGAGCTCGCCCCTCGTGGCCCCGGACCGCCGACCTCGACGGCGGGAGGCCCCGCAGCGCGCCCCGCGAGCCCCTGTGCCGTGTGGCCGGGCTTTCTCCGCCCACGAGGGCCCTCTCTCGGGAACCCGTCGATGATCGGCTGGCATCGTGGACGACGATCAGTGGAGAGGAGGCATGTTGCCAAATGCTTTCCAGATGTCTACTCCAGATTTCGTAAGAAAGGGAGGGGGGTCTCATTTCGGGGGGGGTCTCTTCCAGGCTATCTTGGAGGGCCTGGGGGGGTCTGGGGACGACGTGTTGGGGGGTTCTCCCACGGGGGAGGTCTGAAATGGCTTGTCTTGGAGGGTCCAGACCCCCTCCCTTTTATTACGAAATCTGGAGTAAGATCCGTCGCCATTTTGGCTCAAGTCGCCGGCTCCGCGCGGGCGCCTCCTCCGCTCGCCCGCCCGTCTGCAGGTCGTCGATCGGGCTGCTGATGGAGAGTGACGTGGGCCTGGCGCTCGCTGCGGCTGGCACGTGCAACACCTGGTCGACGCTGGACGCGGTGGCGGCCAAGGTGAGCAAACGCCTCGGCCGCCAGGTGCAGCCCCGGGAGCTTGGCGAGCTCATGGACGCCGTTGGCGACAGTGCGCTTCATCGCGCGGGGGTGTGGCGCGTCAGCTTCGGCCCGAAGTACATGCCAATAGTGTGCGTGAACCCGGCCTACGGCCGCGCCCTCGCGGCGGCCGCGGCCTCCGGGGCAGAGCCGCCGGGTTGCCGCTGCGGCGCGGCGCGCCACGCGGGCCACGGCGGCGGGGCAGAGAAGGCCTACTTTGAGAGCCATGCCTACAACGCCGGGCGGCATGCAGCAAGCCAGAGCGCCCACAGGGCGACTTGCCCTATGTGGCGGCCTGCGGCGGCGGGCCACCTGCACAGCTGGCGCCGGGGGTACGAAGAGCCAGGCGCTTAGGCAGCGCGGGCGACAAGGGCGCGGCGCGCTTGAAACGGGCGGCGGTCGGGATGTCTGCGTGCCCCCTCCCCCGCTGTCCGTCTGTAGTTTTTCTTTTCAACTGCAGCAGAGGGGTTGCGCGCAGATGCCATTGCCGTCCTCGCAGGAGGCTCTGCGCTTTGGCCGAATGCACTCGAATCAGAGCCAAAAGTGGATCGTCGCACGCTGCCGAAAAAATCCAGATGTCTAAAACATGCTTCAAACATGTCTTGAAAGTACTGGAGCATGCTTTGAACGTGTTTCGAACGTGCTTTGAACGTGTAGAAGACACCTGAAAAGCATCTTTCAAACAACGATTGAAGGTTAGAGTGTCCATTGTCATGGCATCCACAAGACTGGCAATCCGAGAAGATGACGATCGGCGGGCAGGCCACCTCCAGCACGCGGAGCACGGCCATCATCTCGCTTTGAGACTCGGCTGCTGCCGCAGCACGGCTCATGGAGCGGCCCGAAGCAGGCGACCTGCAGGGTCATTGTCGGCGGCGAGCTGCATGAATGCCCATTTTCCTCGTCGAAGTGCAGCGCAGTTGCCGAGCAGGAGGAGGAGGCAGAGGCGGAGGAGGAGGAGGAGGAGGATCAGTGTAAACACAAGACTCATCAGTGACATTGCAATCAACCCTCCCTCCAAGCTCCCTCTTCAGATGCCCCTGCAAGGATTCATGTTCACTGAAGGAAGTGCCCCGTTGGAAAACAGCCGTTTGAAAATCCTGAACTGTGCCCGAACACCATTCCTGGGATTTCAACGTCGCGAATCACCATCACTGTTGCGTTCTAGCTATCCTGAGTCATGCAGAACACCATTCCTGGGATTTCAACACCATGAATCAACGTACCTGTTGCGTCCTGACAGTCAGAAATCGTGCCAAAACACCATGTCTGGGACGTTCGCCGTGAGAAGCCTTGAGACTGTCGTGAACGATATTGCGCGGCGCTACGGCGAGAGCCACATTTTGAAAAGGAGCCACCCTCAATCCGTGAAGCCCTTGCGTTTTTTTATGCAGAATGTCTGCGGAGCTACAGCGAGAGCTACATCTTGAAAACGAAGCGCCCTATTTGTTCTGAAGCTGTTGCAGTTTTTGTGGCGAATGTGCGCGGCGCTCAGGCGAGGTCAACATTTTGAAGACGGCCCGCTCTCAATCCGTGAAGCTCTGGCATGCTCTTTTAAGACGGATGTGCGCGGCGCTAAGGCGAGAGCCCCATTTTGAAAACGACTGCCCTCAAACCGTGAAACTTTTCTTTTTTACAGAGGATGGTCGCGGCGCCAATGCGAGAGCCACATTTTGAAAATGACCTGTCCTCAGTCCGTGAAGCTCTTTAAGCCCACAATTGTGCGCGGCGCTAAGGCGAGAGCCCTATTTTGAAAGCGACCCGCCCTCCATCCATGAAGCTGCTGCAAATTTTAAGCTTCAGGATCACAGACGGTGAGGAAGTCTCAGGCGAAACGCACGGCCCGCCCGGAACTTCCGACTGGCCTCGGGGTGCGACAGGGAGGAGTTACAAATGAATGAAGGAGGAGGAGGGGGAGGATGAGGAGGAGGAGGAGTAGGAGGAGGAGCAGGAGGAGGAGCAGCAGGAGGAGGATGAGAAGGAGGAAAAGGAGAAAGGAGGAGGAAGAGGAAGAGGAGGAGGAGGAGGAGGAGGAGGAGGAGGAGGAGGAGGAGGAGGAGGAGGAGGAGGAGGAGGGGGTGAACCGCAAACAGGGGCGGCCAGCAAGAGGCAAGGATGGGGAGGGGGGAGGCGGGGGTGGGTTGTCGACCTCCTTCCCTCGGGGTGGCACCGATCAAAGGGGATGCGCAATCCGCGCACCTCCTACCGTCAGGAACATTGGCTTAGCGTGTCGCGCCGCGGGTTCTGGCCCACCGCGCTTCGGCGCGGTACGCTATCCACGTCCCTGCCCGCTGTCGTCAACTTCCCGAGCTTCTTCCGAGCCTCCAGCCCGGCGGAGCAAGGCGACGCGCCATAAACTTGCAGGGCACAGAGTGTCGCTGGGGATGCCGCCGCGACACGCTAAGCAACTTTCCCCAGCACCTTGATGAATAGGCGGGTCGAGGAGTAGGAGGTCGGCTATAGGGGATAGGGGTGAGAGCACGGCTATGTGCACCTTTTTTTGGGGGGATAGCGGGGCAAAATATCGTGACTGTCTGGGTCGAAAATTTAGCAGGCATTGGGGCGAGAGCACGATTCTTGAATACATCGTGAGAACGGCTCAGGCAAAATGGCAGCCGGCTCGGGCTCCCCGTCTCCCCGTGTGAGACTCTTTTGTAGTTTTTTTTACAGTCGGACCGAAGTAGAAGGTCGAGGTCGCTTCGGGGAGGGTACCCTCAAGTTCTCCGTGTTTGTTGGATGTTCTTGTGCATCCTGGGGGAGGGTACCCTCGGTGTGTTTTGGCCGGTGGAGGGTCTCGTGTTCTTGAGGGACATTCTTCTGTCCCAGGTCCGACTCTGCTTCGATTGGCATCCTCCCGCGAAGTCCTGTTTGGGGAGAACATCTCGATCGTAGCCAGGTCGCTGTCTGCGCAGGCAGACGCGTTTCAGCCGGCGTCTCCTTCTTCTTCTTCTTCTTCTTCTTCTTCTTCTCTTCGCCCTAAGTAGGACGCTGGACCCAGCGCCTCGGGCAGAGGCGGGTGGAAGAACTCAGCCCAAGTGGGGGCCCCAAGTAGGGGGGTCCGGCAGTGGGGCAGGTGCCCCCCGCACGTGCCCTGTCCATGGGGGGCCCGTCGCGCAAGGGGCCCGACGCGTTTCAGCCGGCGTCTCCTCCTCGGCCACGCCGGCCCCGGCGCCGCGCCCGGCCTCCCCCCTCCATTCCGGCGCACGCGCCGCGGCGCGCCGGCGGCGCGGCAGCGGCGAGGCCGCGGCGATCTCCCCGCCGGCAGGAGGAAGGCAGTGCGTCGTTGTCGGCGTCGCTGGTAGCGGCGGCGTCGTCGTCGTCGTCGTCGTCGTCGTCGTCGTCGTCGTCGCCCTGGTCGTCGCCCTCGCCCTCCCTCCCTCCTCCCTCCCTCTCTCCTCCCCTCCCATCCCCTCCCCTCCCCTCCCCCTCCCCCTCCCCCTCCTCCTCCACCTCCTCCTCCTCCTCCTCCTCCTCCTCCTCCCTCCTCCTCCTCCTCCTCCTCATACTCCCTCCCTCCCCCCTCCCTCATTCCCTCCCTTCTCGGCCGCGCTGACCCAGCGCTGCGCCCGTCCTCCTTCCCTTCCGGCCACGCGTCGTTGTCGACGTCGGCGGCGGCGGCGGAGGCGGCGGCGGCGGCGTCGTCGTCGTCGTCGTCGTCGTCTTCGTCGTCTTCGTCGTCGTGTCGAGGGGATCCCGGGCCTCCGCCGACACGGAGCGAGTGTGATGAGGGGGTCTCCCTTGCAATGCAAGGCCCTTAGCGGCACTTCGAAGCGCGAAGAAGGTACCGCCTCGTGCCGCGGCGCGTGCCCGCGGCGCGTGCCCGCGGCGCGTGCCCGCGGCGCGTGCCCGCGGCGCGTGCCCGCGGCGCGTGCCCGCGGCGCGTGCCCGCGGCGCGTCGTGCCGTGCCGTGCTCGCGTGCCGTGCCGTGCCCGCGCGCCGGGCGTGCGCGAGGGCGCGCCGCCCGCCTGCCGGCGCCATGCGCGCCGCGCCGTGCGCCGCGCCGTGCGCGCGCCGTGGCGCGCCCGCATGCCGCCTTCCGTGCGCGCGCAGGTCGATTGGCAGCATCGAATCGGCGCTGTATCGCCGATTCCACGTCGATGTTTCGCCCCCTGAGCCGGTCCCCCCTCCTCGTTGCCCCTCATGGGTTTGGGGGAGGTGGCGGATCCATCCTCACAGGGAGGGTGGCAGAGGGAGGTGGACTGAGGCGAGGAGTGAGGGAAGCAAGAGTCGGGGGTGGACAGAACCCCCAACAGTGACACGTCGAGTTTTCGGTTCTCGAGAGGGCGCCGCGGCCGCCATTTTCCAGGCTTGCGCCCGCCAGGCTTGGGCCCGAGGTCGTTTTCACTAAACCACGTTTTACTAAAGGGAGGTCTGTCCATCCCCGAAAGGAACCGTGCGACGTCACGAGGCGAGGCGACGCGCGACCCCGAGCGCACCCCGCTGCAGGCGCGGGGTTTCGGGAGGGGGGCTGCGCGTCGCGACGGTGATGCCCCACTCACCCAATCCGCCCACTCCCGCGCGATGTCGCGGCTCCTCATTTAGTGGTGTTGAGGGTTTGAGTGCTGATGTGACTTCTCCTCGCGGCGCTTGGGGGGGGGGCTGCCTTCGGGCCCCGGCGCCATGAAGAGTGGGTCCAGGACGCAGAAGGATCCCGGGGGGGATGGGCTCAGGAGTCCCTTGGGGCCGTGGATCATCCTCCGCCTCCTCCGCTTTCTCTGCGTCCTCGTCGTCGTCGTCGTTCTCCTCCTCCTCCTCCTCCTCCTTACCCTCCGCCCTTTCGCCCCTTTACCCGCTGCTAGAAAACCCAAGGAGAGAGGGGGAGGACGCGGTGGAGGAAAGCAAGCACGGGCGCGGCGATGTTGAGGATGCTACTGGCGAGGGCGATTAAGTTGATGCTGATGGTTGTGACGACGACGACTGCGGATGGGATGACCATGATGATGCTGACGTTTTTTGTCGCTGATGATGATGGTGAGTATGACGGCGATTCCGATGACCATGACGATGATGATGTTGACGATGCTGCTGCTGCTGCTGATGATGATGATGAGGATGATGATGCTGATGAGTTTGATGATGCTGGGGATGATGATGATGATGACGATGCTGATGATACTCTTGACGGTGATATGTTGATTACGGTGATGTTGATGATGGTGGTGATGATGATTATGATGTTGATGTTGATGTTGATGTTGTTGTTGGTGATGCTGGTGATGATGGCAATGATGATGCTGATGCTTCTGATGATGCTTCTGATGATGCTGTTCATGGTGTTTGTGTTGCTGTCCATGCTGTTTATGAAAGTGATGCCGATGTTGTTTATGTTGATGATGAAGCAGATGATACTTATGAAGATGGTGACGATGATGATGACGATGATGATGATGATGCTGCTGCTGCTGCCGCTGATACTCATGGTGGTGTTGATGATGGTGGTGGTGATGATGATGATGATTAAGAATACGATGATGCTGATGACGATGATGATGCTGATGGTGATGATGATGGCGATGATGGTGACGATACTGATGCTGATGTTGATGCGAATTGTGATCGTGATGACGATGCTGATGATCATCATGATGATGATGATGCTAATGATGATGATGAT